TGTTGACCAGGATGGTCTCGATCTCTTGACCTCGTGATCCACCCGCCTCGGCCTCCCAAAGTGCTGGGATTACAGGCTTGAGCCACCGCGCCCGGCCAGACACATATCTTTAATTGTGTTTGGCCTCATTACTAGCATGCAGTTGGTTAGTATATTATTTCCTGTAACACAAAGTAGAGATGAATCATTATTTATTCTTAGAAATCTAAAGAGCCAAGCAGTTTAGAAATAGAGTAGCAACACTTTTGACTTCATATTAACGCATACAAATGTTGATGTTAATATACAGTTGAATACTTTATAGAGATGTATATAAAAAAAGAAAATGTTCACTTGACAGGAGTCAAACTGTTAACTGCATTATTTCTTTTTTTGCGTTATTATTTTGTTTTTGGTTTATTTATTTTTTGAGACGGAGTCTTGCTCTGTTGCCCAGGCTAGAGTACAGTCGCATGGTCTCAGCTCACTGCAACCTCCACCTCCTGGGTTCAAGCAATTCTTCTGCCTCAGCTTCCCAAGTAGCTGGGACTACAGGTGTATACCACCACGCCTGGCTAAGTTTGGTATTTTTAGTAGAGACAGGGTTTCACCATATTGGCCAGGCTGGTCTCAAACTCTTGACCTCGTAATCTGCCTGCCCCGGCCGCCCAAAGTGTTGGGATTACAGGCGTGATCCACCATGCCCGGTCCACTGCATATTTTTTTTTTATATATATATAAAAGTATTCATGGGCCGGGCACGGTGGCTCATGCCTATAATCCCAGCAATTTGGGAAGCTGAAGCGGGCTGATAGTTTGAGCCCAAGAGTTCAAGACCAGCCTGGGCAACATAGCGAAACCCTGTCTCCACTAAAAATACAAAAAAAAAATGCCAGGCATGGTAGTGTGCATTTGTAGTCCCAGCGACTTGGGAGGTTGAGGTGGGAGGATCACTTGAGCCCAGGAGGTCAAGGCTGCAGTGAGCCGAAATCGTGCCTCTGTACTCCATCCTGAGATGGGGTGACAGAGTGAGACCCCATCTCAAAATAAATAAATTAGCATTCATGAAAGAGAGAGCATAGATAGGATGTATTAAGAGTCTCATCCTCTACTGACTAAGCTAACCGGGCCTGATAGGATGTATTAAGATTCACATTTTATTAATAATGCACTTTTGTGCTTTTTAAAAAAAGTACTGTGTATTTCCCTTCTTTACAAAACTTGTGTATACTTAACGCTGTAAACTTGGCTCATTTCAGTGACATGCTTGAAATGCAAAATATGTCATTTTTAAATCTGCAAAATTTATAGGTATTCATTAGACCAAAGTGTAGAAGTGTGAGAGATGGGTAAGAGTAAAGGATGCAGACTAGGGCTTTAGAATTCTAGGCAGATGGTCCACCAGTTACACAGAGAAGGTGGGAAGGAAGCTTCTGAATAAGAGGCATAGCAAGGAAGCCTTGGATTGCCAGAAAGATCTGGGCATCTATTTCAAATAACAGTGTGGAATGACTTGATTATCTTGTTTCCTGTCCCCAGAATCTAACAGGATTCTTTTTTTTTTTTTTTGAGATGGAGTCTTGCTCTGTCACCCAGGCTCAAGTGCAGTAGCACAATCTCAGCTTATTGCAACCTCTGCCTCCTGGGTTCAAGCAATTCTCCTGCCTCAGCCTCCCAAGTTGCGGGGACTATAGGTGCCCACCACCACACCCAGCTAATTTTTGTATTTTTTGTAGAGACGGGGTTTCATCATGTTATCCAAGCTTGTCTTGAACTCCTGACCTTAAGTAATCTGCCTGCCTTGGCCTCCCAATGCTGGGATTACAGGCGTGAGCCACTGCGCCCGGCCAAAGAGTTCTTACTACTTACAGGAATGAAACTGTCATGGATCTTTTGAGCCCCTCAAAAAGCTGTATTTCCTTGTCTCAACTGATACTTTCAAAGTTGGAATTTAATTGCATAGTTTTCTGGGAGGAGTATAGATCAAATAAGCATTAGTGTCATATGTTTTTATTTGATCAGATTGCAGAGAGTAGAACTTTTCATTACAGTTTCAATTTTAGGTTTTTGTGTTTGAAAGAGCATAATTTTAAATATTAAAAAGTAATTCCATTTTCATTTAAAATGTCATGGAGTTAGAGCTCAGATTTAGAATGTTAAGGTCTTTCTAATAGAAGTGCAAAGGTAACAGTTGAATTGAATGATGGCTCATGATTATTTTGTAGGTGATCTTTGCAGAGCTGTTTCAACTTCCAGCACCTCCTCACATTGATGTGATGTACACAACACTTCTCATTGAACTGTGCAAACTTCAGCCTGGCTCTCTACCCCAAGTTGTATCCTTCCCTTTGTTTTTAAACTTAATCTCTTTGGCCTGGTCTTAAAAGATTATTAAATATTTCTGCTTATGGGTTTAAATTTTGCCAGTAAAAGAAAGTAGCTTTTGAAGTGTGTTGTGTGTATTACATGTATGTACTTGTATGTCTATAAATACGTATGTATCTGTAGATACATAATTCACTATTTGGGTCAGGAAGTTCAAAAATTGCAATGAAATTTGCCGCATAGATTGACTTTTCCTTTCACAAAAGATTTCTCTGAAGCATGTATTGCTGTTTGATACAGCATTTTACCCACACTCGAAATTTGAAGGAATTAATCTTCTCAAACCCTGCCACTGCTTTATTAGCTAAGTTTCTATGGTAGTCTAAATCCTTTGTTGTCATTCAGCAGTGTTCACAAGGAGTTAATTCATCTCAAGAAACTACTTTCTTTGCTCATCCATAGAAAGCAGCTTCTTATTTTTTAAGTTTTATTATGAGATTGCAGCAATTAACAATGGAAAGGCTTGCATCGTTGTAAGAATTACCAGTATGTGACACAGAGACATGAAGTGAATATATGCCACTGGGATAATGGTGCCAGTAGACTTGCTCGTGCAGGGCTGCCACAGACTTTGTTTGTTTTAAAAAAAAAAAAAAAATGCAATTTCTGCTAAGCACAATAAAATAGTGTATGCCTATGCATTTGGAGAAGCATGGGGAAATTTGGGAGGTGATAAAAATATTATCTTCATTTCACTAGTGTATGCAGGTCAAATTCATTATACATCACTGATATTTCAAAGCTGTAAAAAAACAAGATCAATTGTGTGAAAAGATGTTTAACATTAATGATTATAAAGACTTAAGGGAAATGTTTTGTTTCTATTTTTGCCTGTTACAACTTATTTGGGATAAAGGTAGAGAACAGTTTTCCTTATCCTAAATTCACAGCTTGCACAGGCAACGGAAATGCTATACATGCGTTTGGACACAATGAATACCACCTGTGTAGACAGGTACAGTAATCGCTTTATCTGAAGCTTTCTTTTTTCTTTTCTTTTTTTTTTTTTGGAGACAGGGTCTTGCTCTGTCACCCAGGCTGTAGTGCAGTGGCATGAGCATAGCACATTATAACCTTGAACTTGTGGGCTCAAGCAGTCCTCCTGCCTCAGCCTCCTTTCTGAGTAGCTGGGATTACAGGCATGAGCCACTGCACCTGGCCACCATTTCTTAAATCTTTTTTTTTTTTTTTCTTCAATTTCATCCTCATGTATATGGGGAAAATAATATGTACCTTGGAAGTCGTGAGAATTAAATAATAACATACTAGGTGCCCACACAAAACACGTACTAGAAATGTATATGTCATTGACCTAAAAAGGATAAAGAGGGTCGGTAGGAGATAAAGCTGTATGTAGGGGAATATGCTTTTCATTAACTCTGTAAAATTGAGTTTTATCTGTTTGAAGGTTTCTATAAATTTATGTTCTAAATCACAGCCATTTTTTTTCTCTCCCCACCTCCCCCTCCTCTACATAGGTTTATTAATTGGTTTTCTCATCATCTAAGTAACTTCCAGTTCCGTTGGAGCTGGGAAGATTGGTAAGTGGTGGTGTGTTTTATCCTTCCTTTCTGTAGTCAGAAAACTGCTAGTGTTTAAAATTGTAACATAAACGTGTCTGAAATATTTAATTTCTTGGAAGGAAATTATTTGTATAGTTAAGTACAGATAGTTATAAGTGCAATTATAACTTAACATAACTTCTAAGTTGTTATAAGTTAACAGATAATTATAGTATAAATGGGTATAAGTGTAGATGGTATGTAAGAATTGATAAAACTACATTTCCTCATTAGGTCAGATTGTCTTAGTCAAGATCCCGAAAGTCCCAAACCAAAGTTTGTAAGAGAAGTTCTAGAAAAATGTATGAGGTAAGTTTTTTGTATTTTCTCTTTTGTCTAGGTCTTTTAACTTCTTTGGGAGGATTTGTTTCTCTTCTCTGCATTTGTGGTGTATGTTCAGAATATTGGATTCAAAATCCACTTACTCATCTTCCATCGCACTTTTAATCAAGATTTAGGCTAAAGAAATTAGGCAACCATGCCATATAGACTCCATGTGAATTAAGCCAGTACTTTTAAAGATGTTATAGGCTGGGTGCAGTGGCTCACACCTGTAATCCCAACACTTTGGGAGGCCAAGATGGGTGGATCACATGAGGTCAGGAGTTCAGACCAGCCTGACCAACATGATGAAACCCCGTCTCTCCTAAAAATAGAAAAATTAGCCAGGTGTTGTGGCACAGGCCTGCAATCTCAGCTACCCAGGAGGCTGAGGCAGCAGAGTCACTTGAACGTAGGAGGTGGAGGTTGCAGGGAGCCAATATTGCGCCACTGCATTCCAGCCTCAGCGACATAGTGATACTCTATCTCCAAAAAAAAAAAAAAGTTATATATGAAATGAATTCAGATTTATAGAAAAGTTGCCACAACAGTACAAATAATTCTATATCCTGTTCAGGTACATTCCATAGCTGTTGACTTCATATCTTCCAAAACAAAGCCACTCTCCTACCTAGCTAGCATATAGCCAGGAAATTAGCTCTGGTACAATCCTACTACATAATCTACAGGTGCTGCTGAAATTTTGCCAGCCATCCCAACGTATGTATTTCCTGTCTGGTCTGGAATCTTATCCAGGAACATGTGTAATGTTGAGTTGTTATTCTCTTCAGATTCCTTCAGTCCTGAACACTTATGCTTTTTCTATCTTTGTGTTCTTACTGGTTTTAAAGAGTTTAGACTTTACTTGGATTGCTCTGATATTTCCTTATGAGCAGCCTGAGGTCTTAAATTGTTAATGTTCTTGGTGCCTCACATCTAGAGGCACATGATTCCCACCACTGGTAATGTTAATCTTGATCACCTGATCATGTCAATATCTGCCAGCTTTCCCTACCTTTCTCTGCCAGCTTTTTCTACCTCTCCATTTTTCCCTTTAGTAGAATTCATTAGTATTTTGTGGGAGATAGTCTGAAGTTTTAAACTGTTCATCAGATCTCCATCCTGCTTTTAGCAGCCACCACTAAGATGGTTACCAAGTGATGATTTTCTCATTCCACTATTTCTTCTACATTTATCAGGGGGCCTTCTACTGTAAGAAAGAGCTGTCCTTCCTCCCTATTTATTTCTTCCTTTATTTATATATCATTAGGGACTAATTAATTTATATTTCTTTCAATGGGCTATAAACTATGAAGGTCATTCATTTTGATGCCCAAATTGTCTGTGTTATGTACATGAGGAGCCCTGGTAAGTTCTATATGTCCTTTTTCATTTTTTAAACGTACCCCACCATTCATTGAGCATTTCTTTATTTTCTAGAACAACATATTTAGGATCATCTTGCGTTTTCTTGCCCCATCATGGGGATCATCTATTTATTCATAGAGCCCTAGTTTCTAGTAATAGAGTAATAGAATATGGTATTTAGGAGCCAAGATTGGGCACTTGCTATGCTCATTGCCATTGGGATGTCATTGGTTCTAAGCCTCTTGGTGGGCACACATCCATCCATCCATAACTATTTTTATGTCCACCTGTGTGTGTATATATATCCCTCCAATTCCAACTCAATACCTTATTATTTCTACACTTCTCTAACATGATTTGTAAATACCTTCTCGGGCAGTAAGAAACTTGGCTCTCATTATATTCAATATTTATTTATTTGATACAATATAGCCAGTCTCCAAAGCATGGAGATGTCACTACACCCCATCATCATCCCACATCCTTGGCCACTAGGCTCATGAGCTCACTCACCCACACCTCAGTGAAAGCCAGTAAGTTTTGCCATATGCCTGAGATTTGGTGTGCTGGCTTAGACAAAAGCCCAAAGGACTTTTTTTCAAAACCCTTTCACTTTTTGGTTGTCAGCTGAGTTCCAAGTTGTTGGAGATTGTGACTTTCCAGGTAAGTTGGGTGTTACCAAAGAATGGGGCTGATAAACGATATTTTCTGAGGCTGTTATTTGTATTGTAGGTTGTCTTACCATCAGCGTATATTAGATATTGTTCCTCCTACCTTCTCAGCTCTATGTCCTGCAAACCCAACCTGCATTTACAAGTATGGAGATGAAAGCAGCAGTAAGTAATGAAACAAATCCCTCTGTCTTTAAAAGGTACCAGTTCAAGTATATCTGAAGTCAGTTGTTTAAGGTGGAGAATTGCACTTTTTCCTTTCTTAGGGTTTATATTTCCTGCATTTGAATGGCGGTCTGTCATTAGCCACTGTTTTATTTGTCCTGTCATCATTTTTGAGGATTCGGTTGTGATAAAATTAGTTACTAATTTTTTAGAGACTAATTTTTATTAGGTTTATTAATTGGTTTTTCTCTTTTGAATGTGTTAAGTATAGCGAGACAAATTTATAGTTAGAACTTACTAAACTGAAAATGTGTATTGTCATGGTGATGGAAATTACTTGAATTCATTCTTATTCAAGTGTGGTATTGGGAACATAGATGTACATATTCTGTGGCAGTATGCCTTTAAAAGTAAATTCTTAGTTACGATTTTCTTACCTTTTAGTCACATAATCTCTGAAATTGCACCATAAATTAGGGACTATAATTTGATGCGCCATTTTGTACTTTGCACAGTATTTACACTTAATGAAGGTAAAGTATTGTACATTGTTGATCACTGGTAGAGTTAGGTGTGGAGTTTTTCCAACTTGTTTTTTGCAGATTACACTTAACACAGCTTCTCCATGACACTTCCGTTTCATGTTGTGTAAAGGTTCTTTGCATCTTGAAACTCTGCTTTTCCTTACTTTTCATACTGTCTGCCTGTTTCTCCAACTCTGTCCCTGACCTTACTAGTCTTCTTGAAATGAACTGTTGATCCTGGTACATTTCATATTTTATTATGTCAACTCTGAAAAATAGATATGATTATCAAACTACAGTGAGGAAATGGCTTCCAAGAGGTCAAGCTAGAATGAGATTGCTTCTGAGTGGTAGAGCCCAAATTCAGGTATAGGTGCACTAACTGAGTGGACATGCTGTTAGCTACTGTGCTTTTTGGCAAATCATAGACAAATTCATGCAGCGCTTAGAAGTGCCAGGTTTTAAGTTATGTCTTGTACTGGTTCGGAGAATAATAAGGTACAGTCTTTGCTATCAGAAAGCTCAGACTTTAGTTGAAGAATGAGCTTTCTTTTTTCCGCATAGGAATAACTCAGCTTAACATTCAAGGCCTTCATAACCCTTGTTCCTACTTCATTATTTTTCATTTCTCCCCAAATGGACCTCTACTTCTGCCGGGCCCACGTTCTTTTTTAATTTTTTCCCATATTCCTTGTTCTTAGCTTTGCCATTACCCCAGTCTGGAAAGCCCTTTCTAACTTTACTTCCTTTCATCTTTCTAGGGTCTAGCCGAAGCTCAACTGTTGTATATATTTTTTAACCTTTAGCACGCCAGTTTTATATTGCTCTCTGGCTGTGTCTAATGTGAATATGTTGGTTCCCCAGCTAGAATGTAGACCCCTTGGTGACAGGGGATTCAGTTTTTCTTTGCTTTTTCTTTTAGAAAAAAAGCTAACAGCAGGTGTAATATGACTGTTGTAATCTACTTTATTCATTCCAGTAACTCATATTCTATGACAGGATTGCCTTTTTTGTTACCTCTTTGTCTACCTTACATTAGAAGCAGATTTCTTGTTGCTCTGGTGATGCCTTGCAGTATGTACTAGCACAAATTTTTATAATAAGGACTCAACTGATAGTAACCAATAGTAAACACAGGGAGTCCCATCACATGAGCATCTGACTTACATAGATTGAAGCTTGTGGACTCAGCAAAAAAGAAAAGTACGAAAACACCTCTCTAAAGTTGGCAGCTGTTACCTTGTTGAGACTCAGACTTCATTTCCACTGTCCCGAGGAAAGGAGGAGGAAGCAGATGTTGGCAAAATAAAAAAGAAGTATGTTGTTTCTGGGCATTTGGGCCCAGGAGACTTGAGGGCATTAAAAGTTTAACTGTGTCCAGTCTTCTCCTTACCACTCATCTGGAGGAAGATCAGCACCCCTTGTACTCTGAATTTTACTTAGCTAAGTGTTCTTAAGGAATTGTTGAAATGAGAATTGTCCCTTTTTAGGTGAAAAATAAGAATCTTAGGGGGTTTTCTGGGCAAGCATGGGTAAAAGAAACTTTCACATATGGTATCTTTATACAGATTAAATATTATCCTTGGGATAAAGAACATCCTATTTTGAAAGGAAGAATTTTAAAGAATTTTTCTCAGTTATTTATTCATAAGAATAGTCTTGAATCCTGATCTGTCATTCTGCTTACCCCCCATTCTGTGTTTAGATTCTCTTCCTGGACATTCTGTTGCCCTCTGTTTAGCTGTTGCCTTTAAAAGTAAGGCAACCAATGATGAAATCTTCAGCATTCTGAAAGATGTACCAAATCCTAACCAGGATGATGATGACGGTAAGGGAATTTCAGTATTTCTTGAGTGGAACTATGTATAGGCCAAGTTAAGGCATAAACATAGCTCTGGCAACATGATTCTCATAAAGCAATATATCTATATCTGTTTGACTTGTTCAGACTGTTAGTTGTTCTTAGAATCCCAGGCATTTTCCCATATATAAAAAGAGATCCTAACATTTCTGTGAAATAGCTTACTTAAGAATATAAACTTCATTGTAAATACAAATGAAATATGCTACCATTCAAGGTTTTTTAAACAACCCCGCTTTCATCGTAGAGAGGTTCCTGAATAGAAAGACTTGGTGTGTTGTAAAGTTGGATATTGTCTCCAGGTTAAGCTATTAGAGTAATAATGCTTAACATTGACTGAATTATGTACCATGTAATTTCAACCAGAATCTTAGGGGTTTTTCTGAGCAAGGGTGGGAAAATTAACAATTTATACAGTTGCCTGAATCAATACATGGATATGCAAATAGAAAAACTACTTAATCAAAATATGATATTAGTGGCCTTTGGGTATTTATTACTGGGATTTTGTTTGGATATATCTAAGAAACTTGTATTATATTAGAGAAAATGTGTTTAGAAAGCCTATGCCAAAATGATGGCGTTAAATTTAGACATTGTCAGACATCTTAAGACATAAGGTTTTACTGGGGTTTTTTGGGTATTATATTGTCTTGCCATATTATGGAGAATATGAATAAGGAAACCTATGTCATTTTTTTTCAAGGAATCGATCATAGAATTAAAACAGTCACATAAAACTAAGAATTAAGATTACATGTGATTTCATATTTTCAGTGTTTGAAATCAGTGACAGTCTTTTATTGTTAGTATTAAAAAACATTACACAAATGTCTGTGTATAAATGTGAGCATACCGTCTATTTAGCATTTAAGGTAAGGCACCAAAGAATTGCTGTACTTACATTTTTCTGTTTTACTGTAAAATATTTTTCAGATGAAGGATTCAGTTTTAACCCATTGAAAATAGAGGTCTTTGTACAGACTCTGCTACATTTGGCAGCCAAATCATTCAGCCACTCCTTTAGTGCTCTTGCAAAGTACGTACAAGAGTACACAGCCTTTCTTGAGGGTTTGGAACTTTGCTTGGTGAACACCAGTGGTATAGTAATTTTTACTAAGATTGTTGAATATGAAGATCTTAATGTTTAATTGGATAGAGTGGTTTGTGGTAGCTAAAATCTATATCCTAAAGCTTCTATCAGTCTGTTTGTACAGTTTGCATATGTACATGGTAAGTGCTTTTTTTCATATAGACATTTAAAGAAACTAGTGAAAACCTAGATCTTCAGGACAGTCATATATGCAGCTGGAAGTTTCCACCCTAAGTATCTTCCCAAAGGAAGGTAAGAAGAAATCAGAATCAGCTACATTGTTGGGAGCCACGCAAAGGTTGGCATCTAAAGACGGATATAGTTTTAACTTGTCAGACAGTCTAAAGGAAGAAAGAGCACATAGATTTTCCTCCAGCTGAGCAGAGAAACTGGACATCTCACCCCATCTCAACTTCCAAGGCTTTGTAGTACTTGCAGTGTTCCCACAGAAGATGCAGTTTGAATATTTCACCATGTTTGAAGACAGTTGCTTAGTCTTTAGCTATTCTTGTAAACTGTAGTCCTGGGCTAATGGTAGTGTATTATAAATGTCTTAAGATTTTATGACAGCTTCCTTACAAACTGTAAATCTCTGATCATGCTTTTTGCATCCTTAATGGTTAATAGTTATTTTGCATTTACATATTGCATTATAAATTCAGTAACATTGAAAGGCTTTGAAAACACTAAAATGTTTAATGAGTAAGTGTATATGGTTCTTTTTTCCCCACCATTATCAAAAGGTTTCATGAAGTCTTCAAAACCTTAGCTGAAAGTGATGAAGGAAAGTTACATGTGCTAAGAGTTATGTTTGAGGTCTGGAGGAACCATCCACAGGTAAAAATTACTTAAATACACACGTTGAGGCTCTGATTGTATAGGCATAAAAATAAGGCCATTTTTTAATTGCCATTGTTTTGTTTGTAAAACATGAAATTTGACTTTGCCTAGATAATGGTTTTTAAGTAAAATTTTTTCAGTGCTGTGGGAGTAATGACATTTGATTCATTCTTTAAAGAGCAAGCATTATTATGATTTGGTTTTGAACTGTAATATCTCAACATACTTTAAATGTTCAGCAAAAGATTTATTGTCTGGTCTATCCAGTTTCTAAATACAAGCTCCAGATTTCTCAAACCTTGAGAAACCTTGATGTATATTGTGTATTATAAAGAAACATTGAAATAAATTTCAGAAAACAGTTGAGTTTTTAATGATAAAATATGGTTTTACATTTAACTTCTGGGGTTTGTTGAAATTAACTTTTTTTGAATAGGTATTAGTAT